ATGATTCTATAATTCTATGATTCTAAGATCAGATGACCTCTTTTTATGATGGACTGGTTTGTGATACACAGGGTAAGGCTGGATTGAGGTCAAGCTCTTCCTTACATAGAGCACTAAATGTACTAGATTGTACAAAAGTAGTTATCTGCGTGTGTTTTAAAGTATTTTGCAGGAAAGCCACTAAAGATCATCTGTTACATTTCCGTTTTTACCTTTATTGCACGGCTTTGTGTCCTCCTCCTCCCTCCCCCCCTCCCCCTCTCCATATTTTAATTGGAAACAATGACAACAATTTGGTGAGTTTACCAGTGCACTGGGTGTCTGAGATTCTCTGTAACATTTACTGCACCTCCTGGGCCACGTACTATGAGTAGGCATTTAATGCTCATATTGGAATGAAAAGTGCACTTTTCTGCAAAATGAAATATACACATTAGAAAGATATTTCCTTTACCTAAACTTAACGTGAGACCTCATATCAGTAGCTATGTAAATAAATCTTTTGTGCAATAAAAACTTGTTGTTTGTAGCCTGTCACATTAAAATAAAGCTTTGAGCACAGGGAGAAATCGCAAATGGAAAACTTATTTACAAGAAATCAAATGAAAGAAAACTCCTTTAGAGCCAAACACCTCCACTGTATGGAATTGCTGTTTCACATTAGAAGGAATTGTAGCGAGATTTAATGTTCATACATCCAGAACACTGCCATTTACTAGCAATGAACCTTAGGAATAAGAAAGAAAAACATTTGCATATAGGAGTTAATGTAAAGATTCCTGAACTCATTTATAGTTTTTTTTTTTTCCACTGACTTCCATGCCCTTTGATCCAGATCAGCCTTCCCAGAAGTGCTGGAGGGAAGCAGAGTGTGGAAGCGAGGCAGTGAGAGGTGGTGGCTCTGTCTGGCTGGGGGTGATGACAGGACAGGGGGCTCAGGTTGTTTTCATTTGCTGAACTTGCGGTTGGAATGTGGGAAGAAAGGCTGCCACCGCTTTTATTGATATTTGTTGGGAGAGACTCATTATATATTACTCCATACTCCGTATGTGTATGTGCATGTGAGGTTTTTCAGAGCTTTGGATGAATGCCTTTTATATAGCATTTTTAAGATCAAAATCTACACAATTATGTGGATTCCTGCATGTAAATGATTTCAAGGAGTCTGGTGTTTTAGCATTTTTAATTTTCTAGTAGATTTTATGATAGCATAAAGTGATAAATTATCTCTTGTGGCTGCCAGCGCTGTTTAACTATCTGCAGACACGCCATTAGCAGCGGCAGCCCATGGCCAGCGCTGTTCCTCACCCCTTCCCAGGAGGCTGCTCATGGGGTTTCCAGGGACCTCCTTGTGCCTCCGGTACTACGGGAGCAGGGGAGCTCCAGACAGCCCCACTGTGCTCAGCCATGGGGATGTTTTCCTGATGCACGGTGGAGAAAGCTAAGAAATGAGCATCAGATAGTATTGACTTTCCATCACTACTGGCCTGTGTTAAAAAACGGTGACAGAGGAGAGAAAGGTTCCATTTCCCATTACCAGATATCCAATCCCCCTAGAAAACATCTGCTGAATCTGGGACCATGCCATGGCATTAGCTCCTCTGTTGCATGCTGTTTCATTGGCTGCTCTCAGCGCTGCCCTGTCTATCACAATGTAGAATCTCTTTTCGGAGACGTTTCAACCACATCATTAAGGCCTCCAGCCCCGTTTCTCTTAAAATCGGTGGTAGCCGGGTTTGCTTTTTGCCTTTGGCGCACAATGTGAAGTTCGGAAACTTGACTCTGCGCAGTGTGTAAGAAAGGGAACAAAAGTTTCCCGATGATTTCATGTGACAAAAGTTGTGCAAGGAAAAAAAGCGGGCCTGCAGAAACCCCGTGCATTGCTGTGTTTATATTCCCAAGGAACTCACGCCGGAGTGCCTCAGACACATAACTGAGCGCTCCTCAAAACGCTCATTACTGAAGACAGTAAAAGAAAATGGTCTTTAGAATTCACGTGATATACTACCAACTGGAGGGAGAATAATGCAGAAATACTTTCTTGATGATGTGTGCTAAAGCAGCAGGCATTTAAGAGCAATGGATGTCAATCTCTGAGGTTTTTGTAAAGAACTGCAATTTATGACGTGTTAGGGTAAACAGTTGGATTATATTTCTGAAATGCATGTTCCATCAGGTAAAATCATTGTGATTATGGGCTCTCGTGCTTTAAGTAAGTCAGTTATGCACTAAAAGTCTGAAATTGTAAAACAAGTATGCTTATGCTTAACTGCTAATCCCTCTTTGTATCTACGCTGAGTAAACTACAAGAAAAGAGAAACTGCATTAAACAATAAAGGCATAAATGGCATGTTATGTCATCTTGATAAACAATGGCTGTTACACTGCTTTCCTTCAAGAAGCGACTGTGAGTGCCTCTGTATTCTCCCTCAATGGAGAATGTGCCTGACTGTAAAAAAAAAATGGAGGAATATGGTAGTTACTTTGCTCGCAGCAACACTTTCTCTCTGAGTGCCGCTGCCTTCCCTTCGGTTAATCGGGTCTTATCGATCACAGAAATCCCAACTTGTTGCTCCAGCAGCCATCCTATCATGCAGAATACAAGTTTCAAAAACGGCGACATAAAACTTGCTTCAAGTGGTTTTTCAAATGTTTGACAGCAGAAGATAATAAACGAAAATAAATCTTCAGTATTTCTCCTAATGCAATTTGTGGCATGTCAACGTCAAAGGGTTCTAACAACAAATCAACAAATATTTGAATGAAAACAATATACATAACTTATTTTTCTATATTGGAAACAACTGTCAAACAATTACTGTGTGACTCCATGAATTAGTTGGTTGTTTTGAAATATTCCTGCTAGGATAAAAATGGAAAAAAAGGCTGTAGGGGCCTTTGAGCCCGAACATATTGTGTCAATCACCAGCATGTGCAATGTATCTAAACCATGAGGTAAAAATTTTCTTTGTAAATTATTTCATAAATAAATAATTTGCCTGAAAAAGTTTATGAAAATATTTTTGCCTTTATTAAGTTCTCTCCGTTCTGTTGTGGTGAATACAAAGCGATTGATATTGACATCTTCTTGATCTGCTTTATTTTAACTTGAAGCGCAGAATGTATCACGCAAGCACTTTTCTCGCAAAGATACCGCAACATTCTTTTTCTGAAAGCGTTTCCCTGGAGTTACGGGGATCCTTTTGCCATTCTTAGCTCTGTTCAGAATGGGGTATGCAGTTCCCCCTAAAAGCGTCCACACTGAACATGTATTTTAAGCACAGATCTCATGTTGCACTACAGGTGGAAAAGGTGTGTTTGTTACTGAGGGTTTCATGTTGGAACCTGCTCTCACGATCACCGACCTTCATGTTTTATGTCAGAACGTGGATGAAATGCAGGAGCTGAGGTGTGGGGCATCGTTTCCCGTGCCAAAGAGAAAGCAGTGGATAGCAGAAAGTGAAGGGGAATAACTCTGATTTGAGTATTTTCCAGTCCAGCACTTTTGAGGTGCTCACCAATACCCGGCTGACATTAACCCTTCACAGATCCATAAGGTGATGGTGGTAACAGCGACAGAGCCTGATGCAGAGTGTGCGGGACAGACGCACCAAGCTGTCAGAGCTGTGCTTGCTGCACTCGTGGGAGCAGTTTGTCCGACTGCAGTTCAGCTTGAGGAGAGCTTTACGAAGGCACAGTAGTGTGGTGCTGCAGAACCCCAGCACCACAGCAAATTCTGAGTTCTGACATTATGTTTCTTGCTTTGTGCTGAGGCTGTGGGAAGCCCCACAGAGCCCTCACCTTGCATGGAGCCCAAAGGGCGCACCCCACACCTATGAGCCTTGCTGTCCGCCAGGCAGTCCTACAGCAGAAGCCACAGGGAACTGAGTGCTGCCGGGCGGTTTATGTGAGCAATCGCTTTGCCCATCTGCCAGCAGGTCGAACTGAGTGTGTATGAGGAATAAGTTTAGAGACACCACATGCATACAGGAAGGCTCCGTGTGCCTCCCTAGAGACTTTATCCTTTGCAGCTCACTGTGTGTTGAGGATAGACATGTAAGGAAAGCGTTATGTCACATTTGGGGGGAGCAGCTCCATCTCTGACACCATCGGATTTAACTCTTTTCCAGCAGAGCAGAGCAGTACTACTGTGTGGGATCAGTTTGAAACATGAACGCAGGAGGAAAACCCACGCCGCATGAAGTCCCTCAGGAGCAGAAATAACAGTGTCCCGGTGCTCACAACGCACGTTAACACCGCTTTTCGTGCCCGTTCCGTCTTTCCCTGCGGTAGTTCCGCACGGCCGGGTTCCGTGCTCCGTGCTCGGCGCTCCGCGCTCGGGAGTTGCGCGGCTCTCCCGCGGGCGGTGCGGCGCTGCCGGCAGCCCCCAAACCCGTCCCGCGTCCCTCGGCGCACGCACAGGGAAACGGGGGAGGGGAGGCATTTCAGCCTTCCGATGGGAGCGACGGAGCGGGGCGGGGGATGCGGCCGTGGCCTGCGGGCTCCTCGCCCGCCACTTCTCCCTCCGCCCGCGGCCGGGCCCGGCGCGCTCCCTCGCTCCCTCCCCTCGCGCTGCGCGTGCCCGCGGGCCCGGCCCGGCGGCGGCGCTGAGGCCGCGGCGGAGGCGGCGGCGTTGGGGGGCGGCGCGGGCCGCGCGGCGGGGCCGCCTGCACTGTCTCTTTAAGGGCGCTCCGTCTGGGGTGGCGCTTTCCTCCGCGAAGGCTCCTTTGATATTAATAGTGTTGGTGTCTTGAAACTGACGTAATGCGGGGAGACGGAGGTCCTGACAAGCGATAACAGTCCCTGATAACGCGCCGGCCTCCCCGCGCTCCCAGGCCGCCGCCTCGCCGCCGCGCCGTGCCCCGGCTCCGCGCCCCCCGCCCCGCCGCGCCCCCGCCCCCGCCCCGCGCCGGCCCCGCCGCCCCCTCCCCGCGGCGCGGGGCCGAGGGGGGAGAGGAGGCAGCAGCGCCGCGGCCCCCCGCCCCCCCCCACCCCCCCGCTCCCCGGCCACCGCCACATAATCCGCGGCCAACTCTGCCGGCAGCAGGAGACGGTTCATGGCTCGCGCCGCGGCTCCACCATCTTCCAGGCTGCCGGGGCCGCCGCTGACGGTTAATCAACAGGTACGGCGAGGGGGGGGCGGGGGGGCGGCGGGGAGGGCGCCGGGGCCGGGAGGGGGCGGCGCGGCGGCGGCCGGGGCTGAGGGGGGGGCGCGGGGCGGGGGCGCGGAGCCTGCGGCGTATGCCCCGGGCGGGGGGGGGGGCAACCCCCCCTCAGTGTGACCCCCCCCGCCTAGGTCCCCCCCTCCCCCGAAAAAAAAAGAAAAACAAAGCCAAAAAAATAACAAAACCCCAACAACACCACCACGAAGGGGGGTGGGCGCAGCCGGAGCGCTTCTCAGGTTTCAGAGGGATTTTTCGGTGCCCCCCACTCCGACTTGCGCCCCCCCCCCCCCCCCCCCCCCACTCCCCCCCCGGCGGTGGGTCAAAGCCATGTGCCATGGCCGGGAATGGGCGAGCGCAGAGCAGTGGCGGCCCCGCCGCGCTCGGGAGGGTCAAGTTCAGGGAGGAGGGGAGCAGCCCACGGCGCGGCTCTGCCCGGCTCTGCCCTCCCCGCTCAGCGCTGTGCCCCGGCCCGGGGCGCTCTGGGGGGAGGGGAGGGAGCGCGGCGCGGCGCGGGGGGCGGCGGCGGAGGACGCCTTGCACCGAGGAGCTGCGCCCGCACGGCCCCGCGTCGCTGCCGGCAACCCAGCCGTAGTGCGGAGCGCGACGCGCGGGGCGCGGAGGCAGCACCATGAGCAGCAGTAAGTTCGGGGAAAAGTTTTTTTTCTTTTTTTTTTTTCTTTTTCTTTTTTTTTTTTTTTTCCCCCGGGGGGGCTGGGGTCCGCGCACACCGCGGTGGGATCGGTGTTGTTATGTTTTGTTTTGCGTGTTTTGTTTTCTTCTTTTTTTCTTTTTTTTTTTTTCTTCCTTTCTTTTTTTTTTTTTTTTTTTTTTTTTTTTTTTCAATCAGATCACGGAGAGACGTAAAACTTTTCCTTCTTAAAGGCGAAGCTCTGCCCGCGGCGCTGCCCTCCCCGCCGGCCCGGAGCTGCCCCGTGCTGTCCGCGGTGCAATGAATGGGGTGGGCGCGGAGCGACGGCTCCGCAGGGTGACGCCGGGGGCTTTGTTCCAGGCACCGCGCAACTTTTGGGCCCCCCGGCTTTTTTCTTTCTTTTTTTTTTTTTTTTTCTTTTTTTTTGTTTTTAATATATATTTAAAATCAGTGATGTTTTGGTAAACTTTGGAGATAGGGGTGAGCTGAAGGGGACGTATCTCGGTGCCATCCCAGTGGGTCTCAGCGCGGCTGCAGCCAGAACAGCCTCGGTGTATCCCGCTGCAAAAGGAAAAGTATTTCCTACCCCAAACAGAGCGTTCTGCGCCTATTGGAGGTGCGGAGCGCGCTGCCTCCGCTGAGCGCGTTTGAAAGGCTGACAGGAACAAGCAGCAATTCCCTACGCTCCGATTTTATTTAATCGAGTTCAGTACAGGAGCCACCGAAGTGCCATCCCGGCGGCGCTCCTCAGCTGCAGCCAGGGATGTTGGTGGCATCATGTTACTTTCCTGTTGGTTTTAGGAAAAGTTGAGCACGCAGCAGAGGCTGCCAGAGTGAGACATGGCGAGGGGCAGCGGAGGAGAGCGGCGGGCAGAGCCAGGTCCTGACGTGGCCAAAATGGGAATGAAAGGCGCAGAGCTCTGGGCTGTGGCGAGGTTCCCTCGTGGGTCCGGCAGCACGGATCCCACCGGTGACATTTAGGGAAAACCTCACCGGGTGAGGAGCTTTTTTAAGTGCTCCGGGTCTGTGAGTAAATAGAGGGCTTGTTTGAGAACATCAGCTATTTCCTGTAAGTTGTGATGCTGACAGGACTGTCTGGAAATGATATCAACACTTTGAAAGATTTTTTTTTTTCTTTTTTTAACTGCTGAATGAAAGTTTGTTAATAACGCGGTCAGACCAAAGCAGTGAAACACTTCTCTACAGAGTAAAAAGTAAAAAGAGAGAAGACTTTCTTCTTTCCTCTTGAAGAAGGTGTACCTGCTGCCTGGAGAGCACAGAGCCAGCGGTGTCAGTGCCTGTATGTATGTGGGCTGCTCTGGGCAGCAGAAGGCTCCTTTGCCTTTATGGGATCAGGAGAAGTCAGATGGAGAACATCAGTCCATAACCCGCCCTGCTTGCTCCGGTCCTCACTTTTTGTTGTTGTTGTTGTTTCATATAAGAACTTTCCTCTCTCTCTGAAACTTTGCGCGTACGTAGTCACAACAAAGTAAGTAAAGGGCAAAGTTGCATCAGCTTCCAAGCATATATGTTGGATCCTCAACGGGCTCTCAGTGATAAGGAGTGCTGTTTTTTTTTCTCTATTTCACAGAAATGCTAATAAAGGAAAAAATGTAAATAGCAACTCCTGAGATCCGAGACTTCCTTGGGCAACAAACATGCTGCAGCCAGGTTACCCTCGCTTATTTTAATGCCTTCATAGTGTGATTTATGCCGCTGGTGAGTGGGGTGCTTCCCTCTCTATTAGCGATAGGGTGAGTTCAGCATTACTGTATGACTCCATCTCAGGGTTATGTTTCTATCATGTGTTGCGCATCAGTCGTAGGAACTTGCACAGTGCGCGCTGTTACCGTGCTGCGTGTGGGGAGCTTTGTTATTCACATGTTGTGATTGCTGAGCCCCGTGTGGACCCGAGTGCCTCTAAGGTGCAGTGGCTGCAGTTAGATCTCTGCGTTTCAGGCATGTTATATTTTAATGCCAGCTGACACAGAGGGTTTTCTATTTTCAAAGCATTGTGCAAACAATGACTAATTACTTTCTGTTCGTGTGAATTACCTCTTTTAGCACTTTATCAGGCAGTCGCTTTGAAACAAAACTGTTTTACATTACAGTGCGAAAGAGTTAAAAAATTAGCAAAGGCGTGTAGGGAAAAACCAAAATTTTAATTACAAACAGGCATCTTTGGGTATGTATTTAAATTATTCTTTTTATGTGGAACTTTCCTTCTGAGTTTGGGAGGGCGTATACATATGAATATTTATGTCTCTTATAAACTCTCGACAATATTTTAATGTAATAATCTTAATAGAAACCGTCTCAGATCTCAGCGGCAGCCGTGCTGGCGGTATCGCCTTAATAAAGGTTTGTGGGTAGCACCAAATATAACATTGTGAGAAAGTTTATGGCAAAATATTTTTGAACACGACGGGCTGGGAATCTGACGACCCTTTTTGTTAGGTGCAAGTAAAGTGGAAATAAATTACATTTTTAATACAGTTTCAGTTAAAACAAATTGCCACCTGGTAGTAAGAGTATCGGGCCGAACAGAAATATATTCTGATGGAGATATTCAGCTGGGGTGCAAAATGAGGCCATTCATCCATACGCTGACAGCGTTCCAGTCGGTGTTTGCCCTGCTTAATTTAGTTCCTCCACACACCATGGGGCAGTCTGGGGCTGGTTTTGGCAGATCCGGGCCGCACGGAGCTCCGCACTTTGTCCCTGATGCTGCACCTCGGGAGGCAAGATGCAATTGGTTCACAGTAACAGCGGACAGGTATATGGAGAAAAGGCATATGCTTTCTTCTTTGTTTCTGAAACTTTCTGAAGTTCCTACCTAGTGAGAAAACAATGCCATTTTCCAGTCCTGGTGATTAGTAGTAAAACCAGCATAGTCTGCACCCATCTATTGTACAAATACCATTGCCTGCTGACCTTTGGATACATTAATTACAGCATATCTGGTCCAGGTTCTACTATTTTTGTCTGTCTGGAAGATAAATAAAAGTGCCCTTTCCAGTCCTCCTGGAGTAGGGAGCACAACTTTTTTCTCGGTATTGTCATGAATTATGGAGTTCATTTTTGAATGCTGTGCCAATGGAGCTCTCTTTTTCTTTTTTTAAGATAAGCTTGCACCAAAGAGGGAACATTTGCTTACTCGAAGACTGCTTTCAGTTCACTTCTTACTGTAAAAACTTTCTAGGCTTTGCTTTTTTTTTTTTGGAGAGTGTTTACTAATTAAAAGGAAAAAAAAAAAAAGCACGTAATGAGTTCTATCGGATGATGCGAAGGATTAAAGCACAATTACACCCCTAAAGAGCAAATGTTTATAAGGGTGAGACGTGTAGCTGTGCTGTGTGGGTGATGCTGGCTGCCTGCTCCTTGATGTAGGTCGCACCTCATCAATAAGGCCCTACCAGGGCTGTGTGCGGGGCCAGATGTGCAGTGCCCAGAGCTCAGCAGTGCTACTGGGGCAGGGCAGGGAGCGGTGCCATCCGGTTCCCAGTTTCGTCAGGCAGACCGGGGCTCAGATTAAGCACAGAGTGATGGGAGAATGAGCGCCATGGCCTCAGCTTAGTCCCCAGTGGACATTTTGTGGCAGCCTGGGAGCATCGTGCGGCTGAGCACTGTCCGGCTGGATTGGTGTCACGGGGTTTGGAGGAGCGTTCTGTAGGTGGACCAGCACAGCCGTGTGTAAGGAACTTTGTTCAATAGCCGTCTATGTTTTGTTCGTCTTTTGTGCTATCGATTTCTTATTTTTCTAGTGCCTTTTAAAGTGATTCTTTAAAATTTAATAATAACACCGCCAATGGAACATGCACCTACAGCTGAATAGAAAACGCTAATCTTTCTGTCGGTGATTTTTATTTTATTAGCCTGTTGCATTAACTAAGGAATTTTACTCCTGCTGCGGATTTCTGTACGTGGATTTTGGAAACTTGGAGAAATCCTCTACTGTGTGATGCTGCCCAGCATGGGATGCCCCGTGTGCCTGCTTGGTGGGACCTGGGGGTGCTGTACTGGTGGGCACAACTCCCATGGGGTGCTTCTGCCTCCAGAATGGGAGGGCTGAGTCGCAGAGTTCAGTCCCAGTGGTCATTTTTTTCTTTCTTTCTTTAGCTGCATCGCACACGTATAATTTCTCATAAGTCTGCTTTCTTTCCAGGCTCTGATTGACTTTTATTTTTTCTTTCTCTTGAATTTATTTTAAAATATTTAATTTTTAAAATGTTACTAGCCCTTTAAAAACCTGTAATAAATGCTTTACAAGTGGCTAGACACCTTCCCTGGTGGTTTAATTTATACAAGC